ATTGACTGTCCAGTGGAGCGACTGCTGCCTACCTTGGTTATTTGATTCTTTCCAGCCTATCTTATTACCTTTGGCTCCAAACAGGCGAGTTCTGTTATTTCAAGTAACTTTTACCTTGAACTAATTACATTTCCATGCCTGAGACATGCCCGCAGTTGTGGTATTGTCTGTTCATACGCCCGTTCCCTTGTATCTTCGCATTTAGAGATCCCCTACAAACATTTCTTATTGTCACATTCGACACAACTGGTTTTTGAAGATTTATACAGAAACATTTATTGATTACAATTTTTTTAAATATACTACATTTCAGTGGCAACGATCGGCGGGCCACTTGCTAGGTCTCCGCGGGCCACATTTGGCCCGCGGGCCGCCAGTTGAATAGCCCTGCTCTAAGCGCTTGATTTTGCACTTTGTCCAACTCCTTTAATGTGGCACTAGATGCTGAACACCATGCAGTTGACCCATATTCCAAGTGTGGTTGTATGCTCTGCTTGTATACTTTATTGAGTATTTTCCCACTGGCTCCCCATGTGGTTCCACATAGTTTTCTTAGTATGGCTGTCTTCCTCTTGGCTTTGGTTGCTGCCTTGTTGATATGTTTTCTCCATGTCAACCTGCCCTCAAATGTGATTCCGAAGTACATGGGCTCTTTATCGTCTCTTATGGGTATTCTGTTTATTTTGATGATGCCCGCTTTTTGCTTTGGAAAGAGGGCGAAGAGTGTGGGGCTACATTTGTCTGTGGTAATGCTGACACACCATCTATTCTCCCATGCCCTAAGTGCTTCTGTAGCCTGCTGCAGTGTTCTTGTGACTACCGTTGCTGCTTAGCGTTCACCGGTGATAAATTCAAGCAGAAAGTTCTAGCTGTTCGTCCACTTCAGATTTATGTCTTATTCCAGAACTTGAATTCTACGTGCAAATCCTTTTTTCATATCTGACATTTCTGTATTTGCACTGTTGATTCCTCGCCTCTTAGGCAGATATACTCCGACTTCGATGGAAACACACATAATCAGTCGACTTTTACGACATGCTTGTTAGGGGCAATAGATCTATTTCTCTCTCCCCACAGTGGGCCTGAGAACAACCTCGGTCAGTTCCATGACTCATCTTAAAGAAAAACTGCACGTTCCTTAAAAACGAAAAACATATTAGTTTTAATTTATCAGCAACTCCCGTGCCACAAGTTAGTGATACTATTTCAGCCATGGTAACTATCATTAAAAAATTATTTAACAGGCAAATCCGCCCCCCCCCCCCCACCCCTCACCCCCAGAATATGTCGTTCCTTCGTAGTTTGGTAGGGGAAAAAATGAACAAGTGACGAACACGGGCCTAGCTACACACAATCTGACCTTTCATTGGTGCTTGCTTAGGCTGGTCTACGTTAGAGAGGTGTCCCAGTGTACTGTTGTCTTCACAAAGCTTTCTGCTCTGTGTGTTAATCGTTATTCTGTAAGCAGCGGCCGTCGACATTGCGTTTTCAATCGTTAAGCATAATTAGTGTTTGTTGGTGGGTATATGATAACCCATAATTTTATGTGAGAGATGAGTTTATTTCAGCTGTCTGCGCTGGCAGGCGACGAGGAGGAGGGTGCCGTTGCGTTTCTGGAGCAACTGTAGGCCACCGCAAAAACGTTAAGAAGTTTGAAACCACGGAGCGTAGAGTACACCGTGGGACCTGGGCTCAGTGTATGGGGTAGGGTGCAGGTTGGGGTTAGAGCCAGTTGTACATGTTATGGGGTCATTAAAACCGGTCGCATTCTGTAATATAGAGCACGCGTGGTCGCCGGTAAGACCGTCGAAACAATACAACATCGCACCAACCTGACACCCCTGTCACTTAGACTTACACGTCTCAAAGGTTAAGACGCATGAGGTTTAGATTTAGACAACAGATCAACATCTTGTCACACGGGTAGTAACCCTTAAGTGCTCCGTTTTACTTCTGACTCAAGCCTGAGTCCGAAGAATCTCAGCGCAGTGCACGAACTCTATATCACTGGCGAGGATTCTGAAATGCTTTGGGTAGATTTTTAAATCCAAATTTTGCCCGGGCAGCGCTGTTAGGCTACTCTTTTTTTTTTCGATTTTGTACTTGTGCAGCAATACACACGGGCGTCCGATCTTACTACCCAGAGACCAGGGGAAATTACTAGAAATCCAGGTGAAGAAAAGAAACAGCCTTCACCGGGACTTGAACCCGGGACCTCCAGCACTCAAGGCGGACGCCAAGAGACGCATGAATGAACGTCCAGTCAGTGTCTTAGACCCGACTTCCTTACTCATCACAGTATTCGTTACCTGTATCGGAAATTTTTTGTTTTGTTTTTGATTACTTATACCTGTCTTTTATCAGGGTAATACGATAGTGTAAAGAGGAGCTGCTATCTAATGGTTTGGCCAGGACCTTCTATAGATGAGCCAAGGGGCTAATGACGTCAGCTTCACGTGGCACCACAACCTCGGACTAATAATACATCCCGTTTTCACTCCGACAGTCCCGGTTTTTTTTTCTTCTTCGGTGGAACATGTAACGAACTCAGGCCCAGCTCCGCCCACTTACGAGTGACGAAGCCGGGCCAGGACACTGTGATTGGATGCTTCTCAGCTTTTTGGCTAAGATTAGAGTGTAGCTCTGCTGCACTGGTCTGGCCAAAAGGACCGCGATGGGTCACAAAACTAAGTCACAGGTAAAACTTAAACGGCAAAGCCAAATATTTAAAAAAAAAAACCTTTGCCGGGCGGTTTTTCCCCGTTCAGTCCGGATTACCGACGCAATATCCTCCGGGTAGTCGGGCGGCCGGGTTAAGCATCTTGGAGACCGACCTGGTAAAAAAAAAAAATTGTGATTGGACCTTCATTCATGCCTGTTGACCTTTGAGACGCATAAGTTTAAGTGGCAGGGATGTTAGGTTGGTGCGATTCTGTATTGTCTCGACGGTCTTTCCAGCGACCACGCGTCCTTTATATTAACGACCCCAAAACATATACAACTGGCCCTATCGCATCTTCTTCTTCTTCTTCTTCGCGTCGTCACCTGCTCCAGAACCTTCTTAAAATGTATTAGAAAAAAATTTCTTAATTAAAGCTGTACAAATAAGTACGGTAAAGTAAAGAGCCCTTTCCTACACTTTCAGGCGTAGTAGGCATATAGGGCTAGAAACATTTTTTAGACTATTCTGCATCCGGTGTGTGATGTGGTTAGCATCTTAGTCCTTATCTTATTTCCTAGAACATTACTTAGTACTAATTTAAGGCTGTTTCGATCTTGGACCTGAGATAATTTTTTGAGAAAAATAAAAAATAAGAAAATTTTTTCGCCTTTGTTGGGATTCGAACCCACTACCGTCAGATCCGCAGCCTAGCCGTTACACGACGGCGACAGTCATAATCTGTAACAATTAATTTTTTTTTTTTAATAATGAATAACACCAATAACTGTGGCTTTGTGTGCCGCTTAGTCTGTAGAACGTTTTACCCGACACACCTTCACACCGCAGCCTACAGATCATGGATCATGAATGCAATCACATGGTGACTATATTCATTGCTTGTCAGCCCATCCCAGATAAACCTGGTCTTACTTTTAGCAGACCGGGTTGACCCTGAAGTCACAAACGTTAATGATAAAAAAAAATTTCTTTCTCTGCTGGATATTGAAGCCAAGCGGATGTTCTGCTACCCATAGCGTGGTGACAATGTACTGCAACTGAATACTACGCTTTATTTTTGTTGTGTGAGCTTTTTTATTGAATAATCAAACGCTTTTGATCTTCTACGAGTGTAAGCTTAGTCTTCTTAACAAACCTCATATTATTCTTAGCTCTACGATGTTCCTTGCAGTCAAGATATTATTGTTAATACTGTTGTTGATACTATTGTTTTGGGCTAGGCATATTGTCGATTATTGACATTCGATGTTGACTTCCCCCCCCTCCTCAGTTTAACATATTGTTTGTGTGTGTGTGTGTGCGCGCAGGGGTATCTGAGAATGAGCAGACTGATAGGCTGGCTGGAATGGCCTAATTTAGGGTGAACTGCAACTGCGTAAGGTAGAGGTGATTTCAAACATGTGGGACAGGGTAACAGGTGAAATGCAAGAAACTGAAAATCCGTACCTGGAGAGAATGATACAGAGAGGAGTGGCTGTGGGCTGTGGGCACTGCTCGAGACTCAGAGAGCGAAGGCAAGACAAGTAGCTAACCAGGTGACAACGGGAAGTGTCAGTATGGAAACTTTTGAATGTCTGTCGAGGAGGGAAACTGAGCTAATATGGGTCTATCCTGACTACTGTGAAGGCGAAATCTTCCATAGATTTGTTTTAAAAAAGTCCCTGGCGAAGTGGTCAAGCCAATTGTCTTGCGCTCTGAAGATTGTGGGTTCGTTTCCCTTGCGCGCCGGTCAGTTCTCGATTCCAATTTTCCCGGAGAACCCCAGGGGTCGTCACTGGAGCTTCGAAGACATGTGATTTGTGTGGCACTCTCGTCGGATGGAGAGCTGTACTGTGGAGACAGGCAGAGCCATATGGGATAAAATTCGGTGCAATGAAGTCGATCCTCTCCACTATGACCTTTAACCCAGAGTTGCCAGAAACGAGCATTTCACTAACGTCCCACGACGTTTCATAATCAACACAGAATCGCTGTGATCAATCGTTGTATGCTTGTTGAGCTACCGAGGAGTTAGATCAAAGCGCCAATGGATCTGTCCAGAATAGAGTGGTGATAGTCTTTACTCATTACTAAAGTTAGAAATCTTTTATTTATCTACAGATACATCCAGTGATACCGATTAGATACGCCATTACCACGTCAAACAATTCAGTGTCTCTTCAGCCTGCACATCAGCCACGAGTTTCATTCAGTCAGCACATTCTATCAGTGATGACATCCTTATCAAATCTGTAAGTTTGTACCTGTCCTGACAACCTAATCCCAGTCAGCCCATTTTACCATCAAAGACAAGTTTATCCAAGCTGCATGTGTATCTACGATGACGATATTATCTAAGTTACTCGTTTATACTTCAGGGGAGCAGTTGTTGAATAAATTGACTAAATTCAAAGCAACATTTCTACACACAACAAATAGTTGGTTTTCAAAGAGATACATCCAAACTCACTACGAAACCTTAGGTCTTCATAAAAACGCTACGGCACAAGAAATACGGGATGCCTTTCTCAGACTATCAAAACAGTACCACCCTGATGTCACACAGAATGACAGCGAAAGTCATACCCGGTTCCTGAAAATAAATGAAGCGTATTCAGTCCTGAGTAAGCCAAATTCTCGAGCAGAATATAATTATTCGCTGGAAAACGAATCTTTGAAACACGAAAACTACAACAGCGATATTCCTAATTATGGCTTTTCTGAAGCTTCAAATCAAAACGATCCAAATGTCCATGGGAAGGAAAACATGTTTCGGAATGTCAAGTTTTCAGAAAGGACCAACGGGATTCATGACAGGAAAGATTCCTTTTTTTATGAAATGTTCAAGTATTCAGTGTATACTCTAGTTTTAGTCTTCGGCATGGCTTTCTTTATATCGAGCAGCGCCGACAATGAGCCAAAAAAGTTAGTGAATAATCCGCGGAGCACGAACGTGTACATGAGCAAAGATGAACTAGAAAAAGGGCAGTTACTGTGGACGGTGGAAGAGTATGGAACTAAGATGTATTTCTACGCCGTCGACAGCGAATCTGAAGGACAGAAGGTGTATGTCGGGTGCCGGGAATATGGAAAGGACAGCACAGATTATGTGTATCGTGTTCTCACCTCATATAGCCGTTCTTAAACACACTGATCCGTATTTCATGATAGAGTCCAGGAAGAGTTAACATTCTGCTTCTTCTTGTGATTGCAGTTTTGAAGTTTACAACAACATATCAGTTCACGTGGCAAAATTGACCGATTCGTGGAGTAGCCCTCTAACATCGTACATCTTTTAGTGTGGTGTGGACTCTTTCGCTAGTGTTAATCTAAACCTTTTCCGTTGATGCTAACGTAGTTACAACAGAAAAGATCATCATCGTCATCATAAACCACTTGTGCCATTAGGCGGCGTGGGGAGGAATAATTTGTGATCCAGTGTACTCGGGTTGGCACTGACTATTGTCATGCCATGGAGGCGTAAAGTGCTTTATTGTTGTCTATCCATTTTTTCGTGGCCGTCCTCTTGATCTTTTGTAGCTGATTTTCTGAAATGTTGTTCTTATGATGGTATTTGATGTTGCTGCATTCTAACGAGATGGCTGAACAACTTGATCTGCTAATTCTCGATTAATCTAGTACAAGGTTTCGTTCCCATAATATCTGTATTCCTTCGACCACAGATGGTTAGGTTGGCAGCTTTTCTCAGGCATCTCATCTTTCATGTGGTGAATTTGCGTACATGGGATTTAGATTTTGTCCATGTCTGACACTGGTAGCTCAATGTTTAAATAAATATGCTGTTTATAATCTGTTTCTCTGCACGCATAGTCGTGTTTGAATGCCTTAATAATTGTAGGTGTCCACTTTTAAACATGACTTGTTTATGGGAAGACAACAAGGCAAATGGTGTGCCAGCATGACGTCCTCTTGCTAAACATTTATTCATACATTCCATACTATATTCAATGCAGTAAAACATTTAGTTGCCATTCAACACACAATAACAAAAATAAGGATAATAATAATGATCATAATTCAAATAATATGAACACAAACAATACATTGCACAACTTATTGTCTGGCATATTCGGCGGTATCTCGTCAGGTGCATTGCAAAGTCAAATCAACATATAGAATGACTTATTACTGCGCAGTTAAACTAGGCTCTAGCTCTTTAAACCCCCACCCCTAGAAATTTATAAGGGTACTGAGGCCCCTTCACCACCGCAATGTTTTTTTTTTTTGTGTGTGTGTGTGGTGGCGCATCTACTGCTATGAGATTACCCTTTACCCAGTATGGAAGTCTTTGTCCGCAATAATACATGTAATCCTGTAATAAGATACCTTATGAGAGAAGAGAGAGATTCTCAGAACTCCATACATACAAATTCCTTTTAGGTATATATACTCATTGCAACCTGGAGCTAAATACACACCTGACGACTACGTGCGTGGAAACACTGGCAAGGACGCACACCTTCGACTTCCGGGTCGGAAAAATTTCCTTTGCCGGATATGATTTTTCTCATTTCGACCTACTTGACAATGTCTTTACAGTCGAGTCTGGATAAGTAGAAATCGCAGGGACATAAGTAAATGCTTCCATTTATCAGGAGTTCTACTTATCCAGACAGCACACACAATAGAGAAAATTGCCGGGACTAAGCTGGTCGTGTCGACTTAACCGAAATTCGTTTTATCCGAGTTCGACTTAAGTATACTCGACTGTATTGACATTATATCAAGAAAAGATATAAAACCAAACGAAAAGTATATTAGCAAGCTTCACAATATAACAAATACAAACAAAACGTGAACGTTGCGGCTATTGAGCCTTCATTAGCACATGTAAATTAAACAATACTACATAGATACACAAAAATCACTTAGCTGGTATCTCGATGCAGCCGGGTCGGTGGTTACTCAGCAGAATGACTACACGTGTCGGCTGGGGGAATAATATCTTTGGGGTGCCCAGAATCTGTTATTCACACAGACTGTTCTTTTTTGCTTCCTCTGGTCTTTCAGCGTAGCTCCCCATCTTGTCACACCCAAGTTCTCCGTAGACCGATTGATGAATAATTAATTCAATTGTGCAGCTAATCTTTCTATGGGAAGAGGTAGCCTAATGAACACCAGTTATCTCGTAGTCACCCCTCGTGATATCTTACCTCTTATAGGAAAGAGCTAGCCTCACTCACGCCAATTCTCCCGGGTCACCTCTGGCCTATTGCGACAACTTACCTCTTCTAAGAAAATAACGACCAGAACATTCTACCGACGTTTTCAGCCGGTAAAAGTCAAGGAGAAGGAAAAGGAGAAGAAGAAGAAGAGAGGATAAGAAGAAAAAGAGAAGAAGAAGAAGTAGAAGAAGAAAAAAAAAAATGATGATGCAAGTGGATAAAAAGAAGAAGAAAATGTATAAAAAGAAGAACGAACGAACGAACTTTATTTTCAATGGACACGGTCGCATACACATTATGTTTAACGCTTTGCTTTTGCGCTACACACCTTCACACTAAAGTGACACCACTTTAGTGTCGGGACACATAGTTTGTGTTTTGAACAACGGATCAATATCATGGCACACGGGTAGTAACCCATAAATGCTCCGTTCTTCTTTTAACTCAAGTCGGAGTCCGAAGAAGCTCAGTACAATGCACAGGCTCTGTAGCACTGGCGAAGATCCTGCAATACTTTGGGTAGATTTTAAACTCCAAATTTTGCCTGGGCAGGGCCGTTAGGCTACTCTTTTCGATTTCCAACTGCCAAGGGATTTTTTCACATGCGAACAATGCACACGGGCGTCCAAACTCACTACCGAGAAACCAGGGGGAATTACTAGAAGTCCAAGTCCACGTGAAAAAATACCACCTTTACTGGGGATTGAACCTGTAAACTCTAGCTTTCGAGGCGGGAGGCGGACACCATACCCCGAGACCACTCAGTCCCTGCAAACAGTTTGAAAAGCTCTGGTTTAGCAGATAAAAACAAAACATAGTTGCTATTGTCGTAATCAAACGACTCACGACTCTTTTCAATATATAGCTTAGACTTTTACATTGAGATGTTTATAGACTCTCACGTAGCCGGAACTTCTTGTCACAGCCGTCTCTCGTATCCTTTGTACAAGTAAGTTTTATAAAAATGTTTGGAATGCATGTTTTTGTTTTTTACATGTCATTAACCGGTTAGGGAACCGCGAAATCTTGCGTTCAAATCAAATCGGATTCTGTTCAAAAATGACATTGACTCTCTGGTTGACCGACCCAGCCTCGATGGGTACAAGGTTAAGTCATGGGAAGTAAAGGTGGCCCTTCAAGAAACTATGAGTTCTTAACCCTTTGGCTCGGTACTATAGATATCGCAACTCTTCGGCCTCGATTCCATGATAAATACCGTAAATCTGGGAGGAATGTGGCTTTTCTGCCTACCCCCGGGCGTGAACCCTAATTACAAGAAGTTCGTCACCTGGTCACTGCAAAGTCAGGTTTAGCCAGCTACGCTAGCGAGCCGGGCGTACAAATGATAAGTCTAGCATCTTATTTCCAATACGCCACTGGCACACAAGTGTCTGTATGAAACGTAATCCAGAGTCACTACTTAATTAAGTAAAGATCCCTTTTTCACGCCTGTAGGCATCATATGGGAAGAGCACTCCATATTTTTACAGACCAATCGGCACAAGGTGGGTAATGTGGTCAGCATTACGAAGGTCGTCTTTATTTCCCCAGGACATACATCGTGGTACTTATTTTAGGCTGGGTCGACCAGCGACGCCCCATTCCATGATAAAAATCCCCGCAGCCAGCAGTGGGTTTCGATCGCGGTACGCTGGAATTACCAGTCGGACTCGCAGCGCCTAAACCACGGTCGCCGCTTCTATAGTCACTGTGAAGTAACCATTGGAAAGGACCATGTCTACCTCTACTGAGGTTTAGCCACTTTACAGAGTTGAGTTGAGCTGAGTTGGATCAAGAATTGACATCACAGTACTCGGGGCATTCCCATGCATGCTCCATCCTCATCTTGAGCATCCAGCGCAGAGTTCCAATACTAATGGTGCCAGTCACAATCTGGTTATAAGTCCGTCTTGCCTTTCCGCTGAGTGTAGTGAGCCGGCCAGACTCTCTGGTTACACCCAGGTGCCTCACTGTCTCCAGGCCATAATAATATTCTTTCTCTACTGATTGCGTTGCTTATTCCCAAAGGGCCTTGACTACATCTGCCTTGTCATGTATAAATTTACCACCCAGTGGTGCAGATCCAGCCAATATGTCTGCTTGTTCATTACCCACCACGCCTGGAGTAAAGATACTTTACAGATTTTTGGGGATGATGTATAGGTGTGTGTTTGTGTGGGATGTGAGGAGGAGTGGCAGCGGCTAAAAAGGTGTTAATCTTGTTTAAGTAAGTAGTATAATAAGTAAGTAGGATAATATGAAACAAAAGTAAAATAATCTTAAAAAAGAATGGTAATATATGTATGTACCTAGAGAAAGAGAGGTGGAGAACATACAAAAAGATGATCTTCTGACTTCAAGCCCGGGAACGGACTCTATTTCAGTCTATTACAACTCAAAGGTATTTGAACTGGTTGACCTGCTCCAATGTATGCTGTCCCATCATGATCTGGTGTTTCTTCTCCTCTCTTGAGATCACCATGGTTTTGGAGATACTGATGGTCATCCCTCTCTTCTTAAGCTCTTCCTTCCAGACAAGTAAGTTGGACTGAAGGTGTGCCTCTGATTTAACTGTCAGGGCCACATAGTCTGAAGATGCCAGGTTTGATATACAGATTGGTCTCATCTTCTAGTACCCTAATGAATCTTCGTCTTCTCCGTACAGGTCTTCATGTCATCATCCATTATAAGAATAAAGAGGTGGTGGGAGAATATCACCTTGTCTAACACCGCTAGTGGTCTTTGATTCTTCTGACTTTTGGTCTGCTGTTCTTACAGTTTCTGCAGCTTTTGTAGAAATTCTGTATTGTACTTATCAAGGGTGTTGGCATGTTCTTCCCTGTCAAGCAGTCACAGAGCTTGCTCCAGGGAACCTCATCAATTCCTTTTCTAGATTTAAAAAAAAAAAACATACAAAATTGTTGTTTCATTTTTATATTCAAGGGCTTTACACTGTCTG